CTGCTCACTGTCCTAGGAGTCACACTCTGCATAGCTGGTTCGTGAACGAGATGCAGTGAGAAGCAGAGGAAGAGGACCTGTTCAAAGGTAACCCCCGTGCCTAAAGGGGGGCTCAGCAGCAGACCGTTTGGCTCAGTTGGACCTAGGAAGCTGTATTTTGACACATGGATGTCAAAACCTGTGAAAACATGGACTGTGTTCCCTGAGCGCCAGGGTGGAACAAGGCATGTTGCAAGGACATCCTATTTAATGTCTTGAGTTAAGGAAATTTTTTTGTCTGTGCCTGTTTCAAGGCAAGGATGACTGAATTGTCTTGTTCAGCGCTGGAGGGATAATAAATGGTAAATAAATCATTCAACGGGAGCTTCTGGGACCAACTGTTTTTTCTGTAGAAGGAATCTGTTTAGGAACTCCCCCTATCTGAAGTTACCATACAGCTTTTCTCCACTGGAGCCCTGTAGAGTGCCACTCATCTGTAAAACAACAGTGCAGTTTGTTGTTCCCAGGGAAGGAAGGGTGTTTTGCCTTTTCAGTGAAATCATCAGTCCAAAAGACCAGGTAGATCACAGAAGAAGAAAGAAACCAACAAACCAAACAACTTTGTTACCCTTGTAATTAATCAGGAACACCAGGGAGTGAAATACAGAAAGCCTTGCAGGGAGGGGGTTCATAGAAGAGCTGTTTATTACCATGATTTTTCCTAAATCAGGCAGATGCTCCTCAGACAAGTTAACAGAAACAAGATGTATAGATGCTTGGCAATGAATTTGATTGCTGCAAACATTATCCAGGCATTCCAAGTGAGAGGGCAAACGATGCAACGAAATCTCTTCATAAGAAGTATCTGACAGAACACACTTCGTGGCAGGCCTTTTGTTGTAGAGGCGGGTATTTGGTAAGTCTTCCTTCCCAAGTTCAGACACAAACCAGTTTAATTAGAGTGCAGAAAAGCAGCCATCTCCTCTGCCGCATCGTCATCCCACCAAGACGAGGAAACGGGGAAGATCTTCATTATTTAACGACATCGTGCATCTGATTCAGCATTCACTGGTACTCTGCTTCTCCAGCTCAGATGATGAGGGTGCTAGAATTTACAAGAGTTTGTTAATTTATCAAAAAGCTTGGCCAGTCTGTGGTGGTACAGAGATCTAGGATTCACATTATCTGCAGCTGCACAGACAGCCGCGTACCTAACTGTCCCTCTCCCATCCTGCTCCCTTTGTGAACTCTTCAGAGCTCTTTGCTGCCAAGGGCAACATCCTTTGGTGCTTTTCATCCTCAGAGTCACTGGCATCCCTTTTCCTTGCCACGGCCTTTTGTGATTTCTCTGCAGTCTGTGCCTTTTTGCAGTGAGAAAGAAATACAGTTGTTAATGTAGCACTTCGCTATTACAGAAAGACTAAATTCCTGGATTCTGTTTCCAGTCTTACCACGGCTTTGGTACGCAAGCTTGAGTTGCTACATTAAATTCAAAGGTAGTTTATTTAATGCCGAATGATGCTCTCCTGCTGCAGAGGGGAGCTGTGGCACTCAGATCATGACAACTGTATAGCAGTGTGATCTGTGGGGGTGGAAAGGCCCATGGAAAGCAGCAGCATCAGAGTGCCCACCCCACTGGGAAATGCCTACCCAGCCTCTAAAGCAAACGCAGAGCATCAGGCTCCCCCCTGAGCCAAGAAGTCAGGAACCATTAGCTAATTCTTTACTAGGGCTTTCTCTAATTTAAGTTCAAAGGAGTTGTTTTCCTTTGAAGTTCTAATTAATCCAGGGAGACTACCCAGGCAGAACTGTGAATCACCTACAATATAATGCATGTCATCCCATTACATCAACTCTACCTGTCCTTATGAAGAGTTTAAAACATGAATACGCCACAAACAAGAAGCATCTTGCAGATGTTTTTCACACAGTGTTTTGTTTTGAAAAGAACTACTTTTTTTTCCCTTTTAAAAAAAGGGTTTAAACTTGTTACTATCTCATAAATGTGTTCAGTCATTTTATGAACTACACGTTCATTCCGTGCCAGCTACTAAGCTTCACCTAGCGACAGACAAGTTTGGCTTAACAAGTTGTGTTTGGGGGTACTGAATTTTAGTGTAAGAAATCTGAACACATCCAGGAAGGATCTTACACACTTCATGGAACCATTAAGTGGAATAAACACCTTACTGTGGTGTATCGTTTGGGCTTTTGGTGTAAACTCTCCTGCAACTCTCTGGAACAGGAGTAAGGGTAGTAGTAGTACACACACAAAAAAACACCCAGGAAAGCCTTGGCTATCCTTACTGCAGCGGGAGGCTGTAACTCTCACGTTCCAGAAGGGAATCGTTGCCCAGATGACAATCCCTCAGTTTTCTAAAAATGCAAAGCCCTGCACTTACTCGCTGTCCTCTGCTTTCTGAAGTTCCCCCTGGTGGTTACTTTCATCTTTACACATTGTAGAGAAGCGCGATGCTTCATAAACATAACAAATAGGACTTAAAACTAGCGAGAAAACTGAAAGACTTCCCCAAAGAATTGCTATAAACTATTGATTGACATGCTCTCACAGGCTGGCTCTGAAGGGCTAGCTCTTGGAGTTGGCCTCCCTGCTGTGCAAAACCTGCAGCACCGACAGAGCCCAGTGGGACCATGAGTAGGGCAGAAAATAATTTCTCAGACCTGATCAATGGATACGTCCACTGTTGTGCGTTCATCCTCTTTTACTTCCCGGGCACCTCGCATCTCCTTCCTGGGATCTCTTATTTTATAGACGCTTTCTTCTGTGAGGAGAAGAAAAGAAAAAAAGCTGTTCAATGGGTGTGGCAGGCAGCCATGGCCTGGTCTCGCTGAGGCTACAGAAAGGTCCTCGTATGGGCCCAGATGGGGAGAGGAAAGAAGCAGAAATGCAAAAGTTACTGAATGCATTGTGCTTTATTTCAGGGCATCTGCAGCTATTCTGTCCTTTAGCATCAAAGAAAAGCCAGTCTTCCTCTACACTTACAGCAGTGTCCTTTACCTTGATCAGGCCAGTGCTGCACATTCCTGTTGCTCCTTCTGTTTTGTCCTGCACGGACAGGTGTAGCATGGAAAATGGACTCTTCCTCTCTGAGGCGAGATTTCCTGGCTTGTCTTTGCAGTTCTGGAAAAGCAGCTGGGACCTTGTCTTTCTCTGCAGCTCCCATGGCCTGCACCCTGTGACCGTCCAGCTGAAAGTATTCATCACACACTTCTGACAGGCCTCCTTGATACAGGAGTTTATAAAACAAGAGAAGTTTTGAAGGCAATCCCCTAAACACTGCAACCTTCCCCTGTGACCCTTGGTCCCGACTGGTACAAAGCTGTAACACCGCATTCTTTGACCAGGGTTTTAAGTTGATACTACAAGCGAATCAGATACAGGGAATGCATAAAATACTTTGTAGAGTCACTACTACCTGTTGAGGTGGTTCAGCAAGAGCAGAGTCACCAGCTCTGGCCTGGGAGGTGGCACAGAGTTCACCAAACTGAAAACAAACAAAAAAAAAAAAAAAAGGAAAAAGAAATGATAAAAGAAAATAGCACAGATGCACATTTCAATGGACAATCCAGGACAGTCCTAGTATCTGTAATCTCTGTTGGGCATTTTACCCGCACAGTGAGGAGGAAAGATATCCTAGCTCCAGGATGAATTCTCCCTGCCCATCAGCCAAAAAGGAGAAGAGGTAAGTGAAGCCACCTTAAGGAGTTTTTCTTCAGGCAGTGAGATTTAATTCAAATGTGATCTGGCCACGTAGCTGTCCCTAGCTCCTCTCCTTTGGGAATAGTGCCAAGCAAGGATGCTGTAGCCATGGCAACTGGGAATGCAAATCTCTGTACACATCCACTGCTTATGGAGGGATCCCTGCACAAAAGCAACCATAATCATAGCACAAACAGTCCCGCGCCAGCTGAGCGACCTACCCTTCTGCGGTATTTTTTGCCCCTGCTATTTGGGTGGTTCCTGTAACAAAGAAAGAGATTCTCAGCGTCAGGCAGAAGTCAGCTGTAGGAGGACACGATCTTACCTTTTCCTGTCAGAGAGGGCCCCTGGAGGAGGTTTTTTTTTCCTCAGTGCAGGTATAGCACACTCCCCAGCAGCGCACATTCCTGTTCTATCACACTGCCCACTACAGGCCTCTCAAATTCAATGCCCAGCCCAGTGGGCAGGGGCTCCTCAGTGCTTGATGAACACTTAACTGAGAAACAACCAAACCACTCGCTTTCTCTGGCGCTGAACTCTGGATTTCAGGGGCTAACCCTTACCCTGAAAGCTTTGAAAACACATTCTTTCTTCCTCAACTTCCAAGGGATGAAGCAAAACTCAAGCCTCGAAGCCAACAGCCCTGAACAGGAGGGCTACAAAAAGGGTGGCTTTAGCTGAAGACCGACGTGGAGAGGATTCTTTAAACCCCTCAGCCACAGTCTACGTACCGCAGCATCTTGTACGCAGAGTTCTGGGGCACCAGCAGCTCGAAGTAAGGCAGTTTTTTGTACTCCTCATTTCCCACTGCCACGTAGTAACGGCCATTCACCAGCTCCTCCCCACCAGACACCTGGGTTCCATCCAGCCTGCAGAGCCTCGGGGAAGAGAGAGCAAAGGCTTTAGAGCTGTCACAAGACTGTGAACAACCCCTCAGTGTGGAAGCAAACACGAGCAAAGTGGTAAACAGGACTGAGACAAGCCAGAGAGGATCAATCCCTCTGGGCATTACTCCAAGGAAGTATGCTGAAATATTACACCCAGTGATCAGTGAGATGCAGTAGATCGCAGCTTTCTCCTTGGGTGTCAGTAAATAGATGTATGAGGACAAGGCAGGCTGTATTTGTTGGATAAAAGCCCCTCTTCTCTAGACACAAACCCCTTTTTATGCTGTGCTTTACTGTTTGCTTGTTGCTTTTTCACCCAACCACCAGCAACATCACCTCTCCTAAGAAAGCACCCGGGACATTGGGGTTATCTCTGATTAAAGATGGGAAAGCCTGAAAAGCAAATGAGTTTGCAAAAGCACACTGAAGCGGCTATCTGAACTCCCCGTCCTCTGTGCTAATCAGAGCTGCTTATGTTCTGCACGTAAGGAAAGGGGAGCCAGCAGTGCCTTGTCTGGATACCCACTTGTTAACAGCTCCGCTGCGCAGGTCGGCTTTCTCTGTCAGCGTGGCCAGCAGTGCGTCCCACTGCAGTGGGGTGCTCTTGGAGAGAGGCAGCGGGAAAGGAGGGCTCAGCAAATCCCCATTCCGGAAAACACTGCAGTAGAAACAACCCAGAGCATGCAATGAGCCAGTATTCCTGCAGCTGTGGAAGATGGGGACAAGCAGCCAGCCGCTGGTGTCTGGACAATATTTGCAACAAATATTTCTGGTAGAAGCTGGGAATTGTCCCTGTGGAGCAGTACTCCCAGGATCTCAGGAAGAAATTCCCTCATCCAGCCTCCAAAAACATTCCCAGAGACCCTCCAAGGAGAAAATACCAAGGCACTTACTGTATCACGCAGGGCAGGTGGGTGTGCTTCTGCCATCGCACCAAGACATTCGGCTTCCAGGGAGCTACAGTGCGGAACTAGAGACCAAGTTCAGTGCACAAGAACAGCGACAGCCCTGGCACTGAGCCTCCCAGGGCTGTTCCCTTTCCTCCATCAGGAGCCCTGGGACGCTGCCTGCCCTGCCCTCACGCTTGCTGCTGCTAGGTAGGGTTTGTTGTCAGCAACACCAAGGCTGGAGATGCTCTTCACGTAGCTGAGCGCATTCCAGAATTGCCAGCGAACCTCTGAGCACAAATCCTTCCCCTGCGCCGTTAAGGGGGACGGAAGGTACACAGCAGCAGCCGCTGCGCTTGTCTCGCGTGTCCTACCAATTCCTGTGGCACTTTTCCCTGGTCTCCACTGGGCACCTCGCAGCCTTAAATCTCAACTTCAGTTTCATCAGCACCAGCCCTAATGTCTCTCACCCCCCCCACGCTCATTCTGCATTCCCGCCTGCCCTCACTCAGCACAGGGATTCACCTGCAGACCGTCACCGTTCCTTGTCCCACGGAGCTCCTTCCTTCCACGATTTAAATAGCTGTGAGAACAAGACGACAACGTTGCCATGTACCAACGGGGTGACTGACCAAAGAGCAGCAAGAAAATGCTGACTACTCTGCCTTGGAGCATCGCCACTAGATGCGTGGGTCGCTTATTTGGGTCACTTCTGAAACGATTCTCCAGGTTCCTCACCTGGAACTCCTGGAACTTCAGCCTAAATTAAAGTCTGCTACACCTAAGAAATTCCCAGCCAAATACAGACCACTTCAGATCTCCGTGCTAAAGACACCCAGAGCGTTTTATTCCTTTGCGTTGATCACTGATCGAGGCTCCAAGGGCTGAGCGGTGGTAGCGCAACCTGGGCCACCTCCCCAGCAAAATGCAATACACACCCAGGGATGATGCCATGAACATCTTTAGCCCTTTGTGCTTCAGGATGAACAAAACCAGCTCTAACTGGAGGGTTAGAAAACAAAAAAAACCTTCTGTCAAACCAAAGCAAAAGTATTTGTCAGCGGAGACAGTGTGACTGCCAGCTGTGCCGAGGGAGCAGGCAGCAGAACCTCCCACACGCCACAAAACAAGGTGCACGGGAGGCAGAGCAGCACCCATCTCAACACCCTGCCAGAGGACGCCTGCCTCCCCCAACGTGTTTTCTTCTGAGAGGCAAATAACCTTATCAGGAATACCTGCATTTTCCAAGTGATCTGGAATGTGTTCAGTAGTTTCCAGCAGGAAAAGAAACTAATCAGTCCCTGGTTTTCATTGGGTTTGTACCCCTCTTACCTCTCTTTTTTTCCATTCACACCCCAATACATTCCCCACAGAGGTGAGCTAAAGCTGCTTACCAAACCCAGAGACCAAAGCTCCATCTACTCACTCAAGCCTTTTGAACTTTTCGAAGCCTGCAGCCACATACTGGCACCCGTCCTGCAGTTCCTCCAGCTCAGCGACGCGGTGGCCATGCCTGGGTGTGTAGAGGTTCCTCACAGCCAAGGGTGCGTGAATGCTCTTGGTCACCTCGTTCAGAAACGCCTCAAAGTTCAGGAACCGCCGCTGGTTCACCACAACCTTCCTCCCAGGGAAGAAGGGGTCACCATTGCGATACACCACCACGTTCTTGGCCGGAGGTGCCAGAGCTAAGCCATGGAAGCTCATCCCCGTGGGTCAAGCAAGCCCCGCTGACCACAGAGGTGAACAGACCGACGTGGGGGGCGGAGGAGAGCCCTGGCCAGCCTCCTGCTGAGCCCAAACCCTTCTGACCGGCTGCTCTCCCGCTCTGCAGTCCCTTCCCAGCGCAGCCTGGCCTGACTGGCTGTCTCCATGGATGCAGGCCCAGCAGGAGGAAGTTGTTGGCCTGTCTGGAGGCCACATCAAACCTGCAGAGCACCTTTCTGTTTGAGAACCAGGAACCACACGGCTCTTTAACCCTCAGACACCAAGTACTGCGAGCTCCCTCACCAGCCACCGTGGCCACCAGGCTCAGATTAACAAGCTTGGAGGTACGCTAATTACCAGTATCTTTACGGCAGCAGTTCACATCTCATCCAGACCGGCGCTACCCAGAAGCTGTGGCCCCTGTGCCATCACTTGCTACCTGCAGAAGCACCATGGGTTTCTGTCCCCTGAAACATCCCCATCCCAGCGGACACACCACCCATTGCACTGAACAGGTTGCCACAGGTCAAAGCTGGCCATGGACTCACTTGGCTCTGCCCAGGAGAGGAAGGCAAACCAGACAGGAATAGAAAGATTCAGAGACAAACTTCAGGAAAGCTTTTTATTCGCAAACAAGTCAGCATCATCAGGAACAGAAAGACATGACCGCCATATGGCGAGAGTGACCGTTCAGTCAGCGGGAACGCAGAGTGTTTGCAGAGACAACTCGCGTTCACACTAGGGAACCATAGCACCACGTGGAAAGTCCATTTCTGAGGGACCTCAAATGCCCCTGAACTAGAGCAAAGTACAGAAAAAGCGCCCAACCCCATAAGTCCTTACTTGCTCCCTCAAGCACCAGTCAGGGGACTCTGCCACACAGAGAGAAGTTACCATGGTCAGAGATCTGCAAGTCGGGAACCAAGCCTCATCTCCCGAAGGTCAGGTTTGATGTGCCATTGCTCCCCACCAACTGCACGGGAAAGTTAGGAAACTCTCCTCCTTAAATCCTTCAACGAGGTGTTCCCCAAAGCCTACCACGAGTGCCTGGAGATCGCAGATACCGCAGAGCTGTGACGGGCAGAGCCAGCCCAAACGCACAACCTGGATACCAATAGGATCACACACAGTTCAGCGGAGAAGAGCTTGTTCCTGGAAGTTCAAAGCACCCGCTGCCTTCAGGCATTTTAGTTCCACCACAAGCAACCAGCTAGTCAGAAAGTGCCTTCTGTAAGCGACAGTCTTCCCAGCCTCAATTTTTCCGTAGGACCGTCCAGCTCAGCCAACAGAAATAGGGTTCTTGCGGAAGGAGGCCTCACTGGGACTCCCTCCAGGACACATAACCACCTCCCTGGCTTCACAGTGATGTTTAATCCCTGCTTTGACCAAATATTCACATTTAAAAGAAACAAAAGGCTTTCTTGCCACATTCATCTGAAGTGGAAAACGTCAACCCACAGAGCTGGAGTTCCCCTAAGCTGCTGCTGACCATGAGGTCATGTCACGACCGTGGTGCTGCAGCTCCACTGCTTCTCCACACCAATGCAAGTGCCCCATGTGCTCGGGAATGCCCTCCTACGGGTCAGGAGTCCCCAGCTTCTGTTTCAGCATCAAGTACTGCAAGAGAAAGAAAACCAAGCATTCAACGATTAAACCCCAGAGACCTACAAGTAGGAAAGCACCCACCCTTGCAGATTAGCCAGCAAAATCATTGCATTTGGCCAGAAGATGCAGGAGCCTCACACTCCAAGCAAAGCCAAGAGCAGCTCGCTAAGGTAGCCGGTGCCTAGGCACGTACCGCTGCGTACAGACAGGACAGGTACCAGAGCAGCAACGTCCCCGTAGCAGGCCATGAGTAAAGCTTGTTAACCAGATCTAAACTGTTTTCCTTCATCATTCCTTTTTTATTTTTCCCCAGAGAAGGGGGGAATAAAAAAGGGCACTGCCATCATACAATCCAATCCTTGGGTAACTGAACCATCACTGTTCAGGCGGCACCGCTCTGGCTGCAGACAGGCGCTGGTCTGACCTGCTGTTTTTGGAGAGGCAGGGTCAGGCCCTTACATTTTTACGGCTGACGATAGCTTGTTGCAACCACATCAACTCCATGATCAAGTGATTTCTGTAGGACTGGAGACCAGACCGAGTTCGAGGAAGCTCCTTTATGTCCTCAAGTGGCATTTCTGCAAAGAAACGGAAGAGCAACCTATTATCAGAACAAAGATTCAGATGGCACCCACTGTCTCTCCTGTGCCAAGTTGTTCTAAATTCTCCAGGATATTCTCAAGGTTTTGATTCTCTGAGGACCTGCTGTGCCCCCGGCACTTGCCACCAGGTCACCTGGAGCCCCAGGCTGTGCTGTGCGCCAGCTCCCGCCTCTTACCCAGGTGGGCTTCGAGGGACTCCGCCTCCAGGAAAGCGCTGTCCCACACAGAGGACACGCTGTTGTCGTTCTGCCCATCCGCGCTCTCTGCTGGGGCACCGCACCCCTTTTCAGTGCGTTCACCGGCACCAGCGCCGAGATGTGGGGGTCTCGCTACATCGCCTTCACCCACGGAGCTCAGCTCTTTCTCACTTTGCAGCTGGGCTGTAGGTTCCGCGCTGCCGCAGCCCCGGTCCCATTCTGGTTCAGAGGCATCCAGCTCCTCCAGGGGTTTTTCTGCACTGGCCTTGTCACTCGGTACAGCCTCCTGCAGAGCTGAACGCTTCCTTTGCCTTGGCTTCTAAAGGGGCAACGTGTGAGAGATTAAACAAATGCGAAAGAAAATATAAAGATCTGAAAGGTGGCTCTGCTGTGGGCCAGAGGCTCCGTCCCGGCCAGAGATCTGCTGTCAGCAGCACTCCTGGCACAACACCGATGTGCTCTGGTTTGACCCATCGTGAGCTTTTTAAGGGGATCTTCCTCCAGAAGTGGCGAAAACATCAGAGAGCGGCGCTCAGCCACTGCAGGAGCGGGTCCAACCGTTCAGTGTGACTGGGTAAGGTGGATGCCTGGGGGCAAGACCCGCAGGAGTCTCACAAGGGTGTCTGACTTGAGGCCGAGCTTCATCCAGAGGAAGAAATCAGTCGAGGACTCAGGGGCACGAGTCAGGGAGAGTCCTACGCGCCTCGGCTAAGTAATTACCATTTTTAATTTGGCAAAATTAGAGGTTCCTGGGACTAATAGCCAAAGTATCATCTGCCCGGTCCATCAGGCCACGCTGCCAGCTGTGTCCCCGTGCCCTCCCCCTCAGACGCCCGTCCCGACGCACCGACCTCGGGGACGAACACGGGCTGGGGCAGGAGCCGTCCCCTCCACTCCAGCTGGCTCAGGTCTCCTTCGATCTCCAGCACCACCGCCTCGTACTCTGCCCGCCGGCTCCGAAACCCCTTCCGCAGCAGGTAACCCCTGACACAGGCCTGGGGACAGGGGCGGGGGTGCCGCTGCAGCCTGGGAGAGCCCCCCC